AGGGATTGAGGATAGGGATTGAGGATAGGATAAAAAGGTTGAATATGAAGAGAAAGCTACTTTAATTTTGTCGTGACTCCTCAGGGGTGAACGAGTACAAAAGCCACATTTGGATCGCATAGTCATCTCTTCACAATTGAAAGTGACATTCGTCAAAGTTCTTCACATTGCATACCTAGTTTCTCCATTTTGAATCAAGTTTAAGAGACCTATAAAAGTCCAGAGGGATCGACTAAGGTTTCCTGGATAGCGAGAAACTCTTGTGAGACACCAAGATATATGGATACAAGTGATTGATTTTCTAGAAAAATGCGGAAACTCGGCCGGATACATATATCTGTAGTAGCAGTTTACCGGCCAAGAATATCTTCCCCTAGCGCTTCCGGGTCGCCTTTCGGAAATGATGGACTCCTTACAATCCGGAATAATTCTTCACTTTCTTGATTTTCCGTCTCGGCTCATTCATTTTACCGTAAATGCGAGGCTGTGGGTTTAGCCGGTAGGCTATTGAGATGCTGAGGTCAACCGGATCATGGCACTGAACATAGTGATGTTTTCACTAAGTGTGATACAATGGAGCGCAACAGCCAAAGAGAAGCATATATAAAGCCTCCCGCGGCACGCCTTTCTGAACCACCCACTACTTCAATAACAGAAACTAATAAACCAAAACAGCGACCGTCTTCAAACAACTATACCGCCAATTCTTCAACATGAGGGTCTCTACTATCATCGCGACCATCACTCTTATGATGCCCGCCATCCAGGCGCAGTTCTGCAACAGGAACACCCCTTTGACCTGCTGTCTTAGTGTCAAAAGTAACGGCTGTGTAAGCTCAATTCGAATTGTTTTTTCAAAAACAGAATGTTTACAGAACTTGCAGATTTGCCCGGATGTACCCGCAAACGCACGTACCATAGGCCGCCAAGACATGAAATACTTCGCTAACTTGTCGAACAGTGCTGTGAGGAGGATTGCGACGGTGAAATCTCAGTTGATAAGCGCGACATTGAATTTGTTCATCCTGAGATGAAGTCTCTTCACCAGGAGTGGATGAAACACAAGCGCGCTCTTGCTGTAGGAGCTAAGGCCGCACGGCCTCTACTAGGCTAGAGGGGAGTAATTAAGAAAATAGTATGACCTCTATGTATAGTAGTCAGCCAACGCCTTCTTAATTTATTTCTATAGTCGCGCATACTTATTTACCCCACAACAATCCTACGATGACTCTCAATTATGAATCTGGAAGGTTACCTTACTATCATATGCCTGATCAAGCTAGCGTGATGCATTCTAACTCGAGACTACATCTTATGAGTATGCTCAGTAAGCTAGGAAAATTATTATGCGATATTAACCCAGCCTACTTTGGGGAGAGAGTAATGCTGATTCTGGAAGTGAGGCTTGATGCTGATCTAATGTTCTTACAGCTTCTAGTTCAAGATGAGATATAAAAGTCAAGTATATCGCGCTCGATAATCTACAACAGCAGCAGCATAAAGCACAAAGATAAGCATCTTCTAACATGCATTTCAACAACATCTTTCTTATGGCAGCTACGGCCATTGGTTTGGCTACTGCCGGCCAAATTAACTTTTATTCCGACCGAAACTGCCAGAACTACATTGGCGAAGCCCACCCTGGCATTGGTCAAATCACCGGGTAAGTCACCTGGCTTGTCGTTCTTCCATGGATGGCGATATTTCCGACTCAAATTGAACACTCTATGCTAACGACACCTATTAGTGGCCCTGCAGGCGGCTTTTCTGCTCTTTGGGTTAACGGCGATCTGTGGTCTTGTACGCAGAGCTGCGGACCGTACTGGATTTGCGGAGACTCAGGCTGTGGAAACAAAGTCTCCGTAGCGACAGGTAAATGTGTTAGCTTCAACACGGGCGTTTGGGGTGTGAATAGGTGTCAGTTCTGTTAAACTCACGAGTCTGAGAGATGTTGCATTGGAATATTTGATAACACAAAGAAAGTATCTAAGATACTTTTATGAAAACTTCCAAGCAGATTTCGAATAGCAAAGCAGAAGTCTTCAAATTTACCATGTCTCTAAGTGCCGCGACTCTCTCCTGTAGCATTGCTGCGAGAGGTTCCAATGCAACGAATGAAATCTCCGAGCGTCATGATCGTCCACAACGTAGGCGACATCGCGCATGTGGAGGTTGTGGTAAGATATAGATGTTGATGCAATGAGACGAGTAGATTAGGTAGTACCAACGAGACAGGTGTTGAGGCCACCTTCCTAGGCACCTGGAAGTGAATTCTGCAACTTATTGCAATGGGATTTGGGGGCTGGAACACGGCTAGCCAACACTGGTGTCGATTATCACAATGAGTACCCAAGAGGAGATATAGATAAGGCTGCGATTAGTTTGCTCAGCTATTCAAGGCTGTATTTGTAGGCTGGATGGTCTTTTCTACAAAGATTTGATAATCGCAAGCCGAGTCATGCAGGGTTATTGATTGAATCACTCACCCTCTAGTAGCGTGTGACTCGCAATATCTCGGCCCGATATTTGTGCGGCGAGGGACATACTTCCTACTGGTCGCAGTACCATTCAACATTTTCGCGGCTTTTCTGAAGCATCGATGTCCCTGCTGCAGGTGTGCTCGCGTGTTAGGTGCGCGAAACACAACCGCCGTTGCATCGTAGCAATTCAATAAATGGAAAGCTGACCGTGCAACAGTTTCGCTAGTTCCGTCAAGTCGAAGGTCAAGGTCTAGTTGTGTGGTGTTCTTTTTTTTTCATAATGTCTTTCTCCTTCTGCCGTTGTGACATCCATGCCTTTCACGAAGTTTCGGGGATAGACACGGACATGATTCGCCTGTACTCTGGGTTGAATTCTGAAGATGAGAACTCGATGCAGACTGCATACCGAGTCAAATTGTCAAATTAAGAAGCTTTTGACTCATTGCTTGTGAACTCTGGCAAGATTGCTGGCGGCCAGCAACGCGATATCCTGTGCGCGCTCGAGGGCGGCTTCCCCTTGATAGCATTCCATCATTGGCGTGTAACCGTCTGCGACGGAAACAGGAACGAGTCGGAAAGTCCCATCCAGGAATTTTTTGCCGCTTATCCTCGCTTAAGTGGCCCTTTGCCACCTTATAGCATAAACCGGACATATATGCCACACAGCAGTTTGATCTTTCGCACATGGCATGAAGACGAGGGAAACAGAAGTAAAGATATCTGAATCGGAAATAACGGCGATAAACCTATGTATCTACGAAGAGCGCTACATCAGGATAGAAACCCCACAAGAGCTGTTGTCTTTGCTTCCGGACTGGGCCATTTGAATTTGAATTGTAACGGTGATCCGGCCTCACCGAATGGACTTGTTCTTGCGTCAGGATAAACGAGCTACCATAGGACTGTGCAGTTCGTAGTACATGATATATCCATCATCGTATAGCAAGGCGCGAATGTGCTGGGAGCTCACGTCGGCAATGGCTTGTATGCTAGAGATCAAGGGAATGACCGGTGCTTTAGGCCGAGTTATGAAGACAATGCATGTGTAAGATATGGGGACGAGTTGTGCTTTTTCGCCGAGCTGCACCTGTTCCACGAAGACGGTACGCGCGATACCATCACAACTGGAACAGACTAGAAAGTGCGGAAGAGCGCGACAACGTTGGTGAACATATATTCGTCTGAAACCGAGGACTTCCGCGCCGTTCCTGTAGGTCGAAATACGCCAGAATACCGCGAAGACGATCAGTGAAAAGATGCGAGGCCAGTCATCGGCCCGCGGCAATTCAAGTATCAGATTCAACCACCTATTGTTTTACAAGAGACATTCAAGCCGATATCATCAATTGTATTGGAGCCAGGTGTGATGAGCTTTGATTTTGGTCAGAATATGACGACTATGGTCAAGATCCAGTTTTCCGGTTCTCCAGACGATGTAATTATGGATCCGCTTCCAAGACTCTTGGCAAAGATGGTCAAGTACTGATGCCAGACCCACTCTTCAAGCAGTTTAAGACGGGCGTATTCTGCAAACTCACATTGGTGGGAAATGGAGTGGAGATGTAGGACCCTGACTTTGGCTTTACGAGCGTGCGATACGTTCAAGTTGAAGGTGTTGCTCTCAAAGATGGCCAAGGGTTTCCCCTTGTACAATCAATTGCTAGCAGACATGTCTCTTCAGCTGCCAGACGATCGGACGCGCTTGAGACTGATAGGGGAGACGTCAATGCTATGGTCAAGATGTGTCACTGGTCTTTTGCCAGCAACTTCTTCAGTTATCACACTGATTGTTCGCAGACTGAGAAGTTCGGCTGGCTTGAAGCAACGCATCTCCTTTCGCCTGCGACCCAATACATTCGAGATATGGAATCGATATACTCCAAGATATTGGATGACATAATGGACGCGCAAGAACCAAATGGACTTTGTCTGACAATGGCACCCAAGACACGACACATGTGTGGTCAGCTCCACGACATAATCACGTGGTGTGGTATAGTCGCTCCGTTTCCTGAAATCCTTCACTTCTATTATGATTCAACACATATTTTTGAGAAGCTCTTCAGACCGTGCGTCAACTACATGGAGTACATCAAGACAAGAGAGAACGGATCAATTGAGCATGGTCTTGGCGACTGGGGTCGCGATACTGCATTTGGCAATAACCAAGCGAACATTAAAACTGCCATATACTACCGGTGCTCACGGTATGTTGAAATAATGGCAAAAGTACTCGGGAATTCTATTGATCAATCCCGCTTCCGAGCTTGGGCTCATCGTATAACCAAAGTGTACAATGAGAAACTCCTCGTTACCGACAAAAAGTTGCATCCATATTCATGCTGTACTTCTCGGAACGACCTGGGCAGTCAAGATCGCAATATGTTTACACAAGCTCTTGCCCTCCAATTCGGTCTTGTTCCAGAAAAATATATCACTCATGTCCAAAGCGCTTCCCTAGACCGTGGTGTAAATGTAAACAACAAGATCTCAGCAGAAGAAATTGGGCTCAAATACCTTTAGAATACTCTCGCCGACCTCGGTCGTCCCGATATGGTCCTTGAAATGATACAACAAGAAGAGCATCCTTCATACATGCGCTTCATTCGCCGAGGGAGACTACACTCAACGAGTTTTGGCAGGGCGCTTGTAGAAATTTAGACATATAGTCGGTAGTATGGATGGTCCATATGGCTTGATCGAGGTTGAGTATACTAAGACAACAGATGAGCAGATCATGATGCATATTGCTGAGCCGACAAGCACGACTAGTTTCTTGTTGCTGCAGAGGGAGGAAAGCACAGTAGTAGTGACCAGGAAGCGTGGGCAAGCTATGAAGAAACGAGGACGAAGACTAGACTCAATCAGGTAAGATACAAGCTACAACTCACCCCATGAATGCTATTTCATTGGAGAATTTTACTGGTGATACAAGCAGAAAAGGAATGGAATAGGAATGGAATAGGAACGCAAAGCGGCACATGATGTCAAGGAGCATTGCGAACCCATTCAGCATAGATATCAAAGTGCTGGTCTTGAAGTCTCCCGAAATCCAATCTCGCAGCTTTCTCAGTCCTTCAAGGAAGCTACAAATGATTCCAAATCTTGCCTTTACTAATCTCGAAGCTCGTTCTTTGGCCCCTGTCACGACACCATATGACCCTGGCTCTATTCCCCACCCTGTTTCTACCTCATCCCAATAGCTAAAGGCCATATCTAGCCGGATGGAGATGATGGTAGTCACTTCTTCTCCAGGCGCCAACAATCTAGTCCTGGCGAAACCTTTGAGCTCCATCTCTGGTCTCCAAGGGATCCGGTTCGAAGGGGGTGTGATATATACTTGTACGACATCCTTGGCTACCCTTTTTCCAATGTCCTTCGTAGAAACAGAGAACTCAGGTTCAGGATCGTGTGTGCTATCATCAATTGACACCTCAAAGCCTCTGTACACAAAAGATCTGTAAGTCAACCCGTAACCGAATGGAAACCTCACTTCGCCTATCAGTCCCACCGCGCGATACCCAACCCCAATTCCCTCGGCATATCCAACTGTTGCAATTACATCCTCATTTCATCGAAGTGGGAAATGAGCTGGAGTGGGTGCGTCCGACAGCGTCTTGAACCACGTTGTTGCAAATTTGCCGCTTGGAGAAACACACCCTGTCAACAAATCTGCTGCGGCACATGCGTCTTCTTGACCTGGGAAGTGCGCTAAAAGAACGGCATCGGCGTGGTCAATCACCTCGCTAACATCGATTGAATTGCCACCATGAAGGACCAAAATGGTCTTGTGTTAGGCAGCTGCTACAGCTCGTATCATTGGGGTCTAATTATCTAGAAGCTCGATAGACTTCAGATCGAATCCTTCAGGCTCGTACTGCTCATTGCGACCTTCGTAGACTATGTCTAATTTCTTGTTATATGAGACTACAACGTCTTCCTGGATAGCCTTTTGTTTGGAAGGGGCCTCCTCGAAACAGAATGCAGCAGCATAGGGCGTTGGCTCGCCAATGCTAAGCTTTTCTGGCCCTTGCATGATGAACTCAATTCTGTACGCAGTCTGTGTCTGCGTTGAAATCTGTGTCCAGACCTCGAGGAGAATGTGGTTAAATATAAATTGCTCCATTGTTATGAGTATAGCAGGACCTGGAGCGATCTCTTTACCATCCATCATCAACTTAAAGGATCCGGTGCATCGCATAGCCGAAGTGTGGTGCCCCGTCGTCACAGGTATCAAAGCAGTGGAAATTCGAACGTGAGATCAGGCTTGAATTCGCCGAACATCTAGACGTGTCCCTCTTCGCCGGATTTAGATATGACTGTTTTTTCTGGTGAATCGTTATTGTGGTAAGCTATGTCGACGCCAGGTGTGCCACTCTTTGCCCAAGTTTGTTCTTTGGATACCATTGGAATAATACAGCGAGTCCGGACACCCTAAACAATATTGATGCCCTTGAAAGTTCTGCGAAAAACATCAAGCGGTCAGTGTCGGTACTTCGGAATACAAGAGGCGCTTCCTCCACCAGCGCAAACGGGATCTTTTGCGAACTCGCCGACGAGTGCGACCGTGCTGCTGGTTGCAACTGGCAGCGTACAGTTTTCGTTTTCTAGTAGTACCATACTGCTACATGCAATGGAGCGAGCGAGATCACCGGTTGCTTCTGAAATCACTGAACGCTCTAGTTCCTCGCTATGACACGCCCTTGTGCGGTCTCTTAATTCAAGCATCTTGAGGGCCTGAGCGTTGGTTTCTGCTTCAAAAACCTCACCCGCTTTTACCTTCCCAACCAATTGCACACCACGGAACACGGGTAAAGGCATCTCGAGGTCAAGACCGGCTTTGATAGGTGCAACAGCATCGTGTACGGCAAACCAGTCGGATATGACAATGCCTTTGAAATTGCAGTCGCCGCGCAGGACATCCTGGTAAAGCTTGGCATGCCCACTGAAAAATTACTCGTCGACCTTGTTATAACTGCGGCTTTCAGTGCCTGGATGATGGAGAGGTGTTGAGGTTGTCTTACGTTGACACAACGCCTTCAGGATCACAATTTCGCAACATGTACTACCATGCGGCCAGGTAAATTTCTCTAAGCGGCCTGCCGTTCACCTTTTCCTTCACATCGTAGTAATGTCGTAGGGTTTCTGCATCATTCCCCACAAAATGCTTGGGACATGCGCCCACACCCCTTCACTGTATTCTGTCGACAATGACAGTTGAGAAAATGCCTGATATCAATAGACATTCATAGAAAGATCCAAAATTTCTTCCTGCACGAGGATCGCGGTGAATGTTGATTGTAGGACCCAGGACGACTTGGGCACTTTTCAATCTTACCTGTCGCGCTAGCTCTTCACCCAGTCTGCCTAACAGCTCCGTGTCGCAAGTAGATGCATATCAAGTTATGTTGGGAAAAGAGGCTGTTTTGAGAACAGCCTCCTGTCCGCCCGGTCCGGTACCACATGTGGATTCAGCAACGCGGAGGGGAGGTATGCCCAGACGTGCGACACCGGCTACTGCGGAGAAGTCGCGACCCGAAATTAGTGTCACTTTCTCCTCAAGCGTCAGCTCAGAAAGTAGGCTTGCGAAATGACTGGAATATTGAGACATAAAGTGTGGGGGATATTGTGTGGGGCAAGCATTCTGGGGTGCTATTTGTGGTAACTTGAAAATGCAAACAGTGCCCCGCCATCTCTGCTGCAACTCGGAATACACGAGCATCGGATCCGGAGGCTTTAGGCTTGCCGATACAGTAACTTTTGGGCTCTTAATAGTGCCCCGTACAGGTGATAAAGTTATTGTGGGTCACGATATCCGGCATCGTCGTGCGTCAGATGGAACGGGGACGAGAGACTGTGGCAGCCATACAGCCAGGAAAAGCGGTCCGAATAAATCAACACACTCTCATCCTGGCCACAAGAAGAAATGTGTCAAACCCAGCTTTAGAGAATACCACAAGATTGATCTCGGCTATCAATAAGTCGTTTGGAAGCCAGCATACAAGTTGAGGATTCAGGCATCGATATGGAATATAGAAACATGAAATATGCGACACATCATAACTATGCGAGTGAACCACTCAATCATCCCCCCCCCCCCCCCAGACAAATTCCTGTGATATGGTTTCCATCAACGGCCGAATGGCCATACCATAATCACCGCCGTTAGGTGTTCGTAATACGGTATGAATGTGAAACTTCGCAGGAGTGTCGTTATTCAAAAACACTCTTGAATGATGGTCAAATTCGATAGAAATGACTGGGCTTTATATCCGATAGTAAAGGCGTCGTCATTGCCAAACCCGCCAATCTAGGAAAAGTACGTTTCGTGGTACCAGGATTCCGCTTGCTCTAAGCGCGACGTACGGGCTCCGGTTGGAAGGTACTGTATGAACTGCGATATTATCGCGGTGACAAGCCACGGACCGGAGGAGCTCATGTCACTGACCCTGACACCCTCATATGGCACAACTCTATTCTCTCGATAGGCACCACACAAATGCTGCTGGTCGTCATGGTTCCAACGCCCATGTGACATTGATGGATCGTGAAGTAGCTTATAAATCTGTGCGTTTGCCCGTAATTGCAATGGAAGGGACTGCGTGAGCTGCAGACCAAGGCGTTCCTCTTCTTAAAGGATAGGTGTGCCTACATAGGGGTCGTGCGGGTCGTCGATGATATCCGGTTCAACTCCAGTAAAGCAAGGAGATACGACTATTTGGTTCCTATATAACAGAATGTTCAGACAAAGGTAGTGACCGTAGAATGAGAAGCCCCAAGGTGAAGTAAGCGAAGGTGTTCCCAAAAGTGCCAGGTTGTACGACAAGTCGTTACAAATGCGTGGCGCATTTACGAGACGACCGAGAAACCCGTTGATGCGCATTGCCCCAAGGGCTTTCTGGTAGCCTTCAGGTGATAGTGTATGCTCCAGTAACTTCAACGAAGCAGTACGTATAGCCAGAGCCACCTCGTCCAGTCGCATACCCTTGTCGCTCAGCAGAAACTCAGGATTTGACCATGATCTTCACTCAGCTGAGTCGATGTGATAAATGATATGCCTTTCTTGAGACTCGTCCAACAATGGAAGCAGTTCTTGGGCGACAACTGCTATCTCGGGAACTGCAACACCCTCGTCTTGAAGCGGAAAAAAACCCGATCGGACCACGCCATCATTCGTTATTCCTCGGAACGGCTCTTCGGATAGCTGCCTCCAATGCTGCCATAAGGCATGTAGCCATGGCGGTTGTGCGCTGCCCTTGAAAATTGATGCGTACTCGTGTGCATCTTGCTTTTGTAGAGTTACGAAACGCGATTGCGTTAAATCCGGTAAGAATGGTCGGAACCATTTGCCGTTCTCCTCCATCACTAGATTGAACAATGCGCAACTGATGCTATTCCATATGGATGTGTTGCCGTTGTAACATATACTTCAATTCTCTTGTTCTTAGGTATACTTAGTGAGTAAAATCGGATGATTTCGCTTGCATTCACCAAAGCCGGCTTTTCCGCAGCGACAAAGACTAGTTGATCTAGGCTCGTCGGGACCATTTCGCAAGCTGCAATACCCGAGATCTGCTCCGTGACTCACTATTTGAACTTTATTACAAGGAGATATGTTAAAATCATTACGCATCCGTCTTGACCGAGTACTAACAGGGTTATCCTAGCAGCACGTCAGAATGTCATTTTCGTCGTTCACGCGACTGCTACGCTTTGTGCCGATTTCCGATGGGTCAAGAGTATGCATTGGAGAACCAGGATCACATACTATCGGCGTCGGAGTCGCTATTCGAGAAGGCCTGTCAGTGTCGACTTTGCTAAGATCTGGGACATTGGTGCTCTCCTCAGGCAACAAGACGCACCGACGCGAGTTCATTGGCCGGCTACTTTCGCCAATCGTTAGTAGCGAAGTAGAAACGATTCGTTGCATCGGTCTCAACATGCGCCTCTGGACCGGATCACGTTATATCTGCCTTGGATACTGACAGAGGTCAGTATATTCAGTATGCGAAGGAGCTCAGTGTGGGCCTACCCACTGTGCCTACTGTCTTTCTGTAAGCCCATTCATATTTATCATGCCCATTCCAACGGTTCTGAACAATTGAATAAAGCCTAGCACTGCACTTGCAGATTCATGGCCAGCCTCGACAGTGCTGCCGAAAATCGCCCATGAAACTGATTTTGGGGATTAAGAATCCGAACTAGTAGTTGTGCTAGGGACAAATTGTAAGAACATATTCGAAGAAGATTCGCTTGATTATGTGTTGGGCTATACAGCTTGCAACGATGGTTCGAGGAAAGCAAGCCAGTTTGCATAAACGCACTGGCGCTTCTCCAGGGGCTTTGATGGTTTATGCCCGATTGGTGAGGAATGAATGTACGTACAGCCATGCCCAAGCTGATCCAATCTTAAAAGGGCCAACAATTGTGTTAAGCTCACTGATCTCTGGCCCGTCTGCACCCCATATTCCTGTTATGGAGAACGGTCAGGTAAAACAAAATTGTGGCACTGAGTGTGTATTAAGACCCATGAACGAATCATTCGAGTCTAATATTGACTGAAAAATAGCGATCTCATATTCAGTATAAGCAAGCTTATAAGTTTTCTGTCGCAGGGAACGACTCTTCCTGCGGATACTGTCATTATAACAGGAACTCTACCTAGAGCAGGCACAGCGTCCAGTCCCAAAATTATTTTGAATGAGGAAGACGAATTCACAGTAAAGATTCTTCCATACATTGGAACTTTGTTCAGCACTTTCGAGAATAAGGAATGAAACCTATCCGTTACCGAAAAATAAGAACATGGGATTGTTTGGGTCGAAAGCATCAAGTTGTGGCGCCATGTCAAAGTCCATTCCAGTGTCATCGATGAGTCCAAATGATCCCCAGTACTGGTTCAGTTGGGTTGACTGAGTGTTATCGTGGGTTATCATAGGGCCGTTTGGCTCATGTCTAGAAGGAGAGTCATTGGAGTTGTCCCCGCTTAGTATTGCGGCATTGTCCGGTTCTTGTCTACCGCTTGCTTTATCTTTTGCACGGCGCAATAGCTTCGCAGCTTTAAGAGCAACAACGCTCTCATCCATGGATTCTAGAATTTCCACAGCCATGTCCACTAGACCATATAGCGATGGTAGCTCATCATCGACGGCTGCGCCTTGTGTGATGTAAAGAAGGACAACAGAGGCAGCAAAAACGGTGTATGTGGCATTGTAAAACCTGTTTCCAAAGTTATTACCCTATTTTGATATGTACTATGCAGTACATTTACATACCAGGTCTGGAAAAAGTCGTTATGCTCATATGTTTGGTAAATGATTGTGATTGTTTGTCTTGCCGACTCTAGACATTTGCGGGTGTTCTCCAAGCACCCAGGAACACTCTCTCGCTCATCGAGTGATGATTTCATGAGCACACAGCTGAAGAGAAGAATTTTGAGATTATGGTAACGTATACCTAGCACAAGTTTCTGCCGCTTAGCCCACATGGCATCTTTGATGGAACCTAAACAGGATCTTTGTTGAGTTTGGTTATGGACGGAAGGCCTCAGTGTAGGGGGAAGTCCAATAAGCCAACCATCAAGCTCCTTCTCGATCTCATTAGCTCGAGAGAGCATGTCAGGTATACTAAGGTTGGACAGATACATCTTGTGGCAAATGTTGCGTGTGATCCTAGAAAGGTCAACCATATAGCCGATGATCGCGCAGTGCGGTGGTTCGATCATCTCAGAGACAATGGTGTCCACTGTCGTGCTCGTACCGATGACAGGGTATTTTCGATTGTGGTGGATGTCAGCGCCTAGAGTGTCGGGTCGTCCAACGGAAAATGATATCTCCCTATCGAGATTAGAGGCCGCATATATGAGCGAATGCTAACTTACACTTCAAGCGAGTAAAGGCACCTACTGAATCAGTCGACAGCTTACAAGCAGAGGATATAAGTTGAAGGCTCACCACCACATCCTTGACTCTGCCTTTAATTGGGCGATTGTTTTCCTCGTATTAGGTCCAGGGTCCCGGTTTACACCCATCGCTAATGCAGTCCGCACGGCGAAACCTACATACATGTATGAACCTGTATCCACATTAGCTTGCGAATTAGTCTATAGAATGGCTCTCTAACAGTGTGGGTTAAGTTCATTCTGGCAAACCTTTGCCTACATGCTGATTTAGCGTTATGTAGTGATATGTACTAAGGTCCAACACATACCAGCATGAAGAAACATTGTGCCATCTCGAGGTTAGTAATAAGTCCAAGTGAGTGGCAACATGACCAAGAGAGGTCAAAGAATTTGCGAGACCATTGAAGGTTAGTCAGATTATCAATTAGGTGTTCTCCGCGAACTCCGACCATCGCCCCCAGCGAAAGGACACTGTAGTAGAGAGCGACGAAACTAGGAGATGGTTGCAAACTAGCACCTGTTGTGCGAAGCGACCAGAGTACCTCACATCTTCCAAGGAACTCGCGTTTATCGAGGATAGGGTGAATATAGTGAATGGTGGAGAAAAAGTCCTCTATGAAGCTTCGACATTGGGGATAATAGTCAGCAGGCAAGCTAGTAGCGTCCAATATATCTCCATGGGATGAGGTGGGTATCGCCTGGAAGGTGGCATTATGTAAGCTGGATACAAGATGAGCACCATCCTCTCTGTCCCGGAATTGTTGTCCTGAACGTTGGACACGAGAGAGTAAAGCCATAGAAGACGAACTTCCATAAAATTCAACGCCGGCGGTGTGCTCATTCACCTCTGAAATTTCTTCTGCAGCGATACCTTGTGCAGATGTGCGCATATCTGGCTGGGGTGCGCGGTGAGGCTGTTGCTGCGCATTTTCCACATCCACGGGGCTCTGATCCGAAGGCATGACGGGCTGCGTATGAGGCGCATTAGCGGGCGTGGTCGAAAGACGCTTTACTTCATCCTCCAACTGTTTGACATACTCGGCGGTATAATGCCGAGAAGTGTGGTGCGAGCCTTGATAAACACATGTTGCATTGCGGTTCTTGCAGTAGGTGCAAGGATAAGATTCGTCGCATTTGTTCTTCTTTGCACGGCAAAGATCGCAGGCGCGAGCAGCGCGCGGTCGGCGCGTGCGATGAGACGTTTGCGTGGGATTACGCCCATTGGCCTCCATCGACACGGTGTATGGACAGTAGGATTGATGGGCTAATGCCGGGGAGCGGAATGGTTGGCGGAGAACAGGGTGAAAGTATGCCCAAGTAGGGCTGTGCGATTAACCTCGGCTGTCCTCGCAACGGCTTTTGCCAAATCCTCTTTCTTGATCAGGAAAGTAGTACCATAGCTCGTAAGTGCGGGTCCTTGTTCAGCCAATCCAATAGCATCTACTCTGTATATCTCTTCTTATTATCACTCATATACAGTAGTTCTATTGCTATAAAAGCTTTCCAACAGTATCATGAATACATTTTTACTTTAACTGCAAAGTCAATTTTTGATGCACGATTGCGGCAAGTTGAAGTATGGCCTGCCATTCTCTTCTTAGATAACTGATTTGATAGGCTATATAGCAAATAGATAGGAAAGAAAAAGTCAAGTAATAGAAGCTATTATTGGAAGTAATTCTAGTAGGGTGCTATATGAGCTAAAATGCTACTCGCACTGACTAACTGGTATAACCAAAACCTGGTGTTCTCAAGGCAACATCCCACAAAACGTAGCTACACAACTGTAGGATGCCATTCGCTACAGCAACAGAGGTATCTGATGCAGTAGATGTTCTACAATAGCATCCGGGCCCTTCTCTGTCTGCAGCCCAAAGGGAATCGCGTGCAACCTTATATCCGGTTTGATAGACTGAGCCGTTTGCTGGATCTCTACCACATCATCTGCCGTCCACATTGATGCAGAAAACTAAAAACAGATAGTAAGAATCACATTATAGATCGCAGCTTTAATGTCTACTCACCAAAATATCTGGTTGGTGTTGGTGCACACTGCTTGCAACCTGGTCCTTGCCTACACCAATCAGTCAATGTTCGTGTGCGTTGAGTAGCAGTGCAGCGCGATTCACTTACTGACGCAATTTGCTACGTATTCGATCGTATATTTATCTTTCAACGCCTCCATAACACGACCAATAAGAACTTTTGCCCTCTCCGGGGCAGTGTTTACGGTTACTAGTTTGAAAGGACCTTTTGGAGCGATGATGTGCTCTTGGGGAAAGCTCATGAGTGCGTTGTCAAGAAAAAACAATGATCTAGAATCTTGGTACACACAATCTATTACATGGCGACAGGCCAGTGTGGGAAACCGTTGTCTTGACTAAAATCTTGAGCGATATCATAAAACCTCGGAGAGCCAAGTGACTCGGGCTTTCGTTGAGTGCAGATCCGGAATTACCGAGCCACCCCCTGCACCCGGCATATCCGGAAACATCCACAACTAGACTAATAAAAAGATCCATGAGAAGCGTAGCATAAGTGGAGAATATGGGGTAGTTAGAGGGCAGATAGGATGGTAATCCCAGAATCACCTCCACTGCCCAGTCACCCATCCCAAAAGACCAATTGTTGGTAGGAACATCACAAACTATCTTATGGCTCCCCAATCACCCGCGCTATTGCGTCGCCAGTCTCATCTTCGCCTAGACATCATCATTGTTGGTGCTGGACTCGGTGGTCTAGCGGCAGCAATCTCAACTGCACAATCTGGCCACAAAGTCACTGTATTTGAAGCAGCAAAAGAGTTGGCTGAGGTCGGCGCTGGACTTCAACTGACGCCAAATTGTACCAAAATCCTCCAAGAATATGGTCTCAGCGACGCCTTCTGGTCTTCTGGCGCAGAACCTGCCTCATTGACTGTCCATCGATACACAGGCTCGATACTCGCACACGACGAGGTTTTTTCAACCAGAATTCGTCAACGATACGGCGCCCCATTTCTAGACGTGCATCGATGCGATCTGCAACAAGCGTTGTATGAACGCGCAAAACAATTGGGTGTCGATTTCAGGTTTGGATCACGAATCGTCGAGATGGAGTTTGAGCATGCTCGTCCTGTTATTTTAACAGAGCAGGGATCTCGTTTCGACGCGGACCTCATAGTTGCTGCTGACGGTCTGTGGTCGCGCTGTCGGTCACAATTTCTTGGTCGTGTTGATCCTCCCAAACCCACTGGCGATTTAGCATATCGCATCATCTTAGATCTCGATCAGATTCAAGACCCGAGGCTGCAGCGATGGGTATCCGAACCAACTTGCCATTTTTGGATCGGACCAGGCGCACATGTTGTGGGATATTCCCTACGAGGCGGGAACATGTACAACATTGTCCTCCTTGTACCCGACGATCTTCCTGCTGGCGTCAGCCGTCAGCGCGGGTCTGTTGAGGAAATGAAGGCCCTCTTTAACGGGTGGGACCCCATTCTGACACACTTTTTGGAGCTGGTCGATCATGTGGATAAGTGGAAATTAATGCACAGTAAAGTAAGCTCCGAATATCATTACAAGCAGACGTTTAACACACTTTTAGGAGATGAGATGACATCATGGTTCAACGACAAGTTCAATCTTGTTTTCATGTAACTGCTCCTGGCTTTCCATCTTTCTCAAATCGCACTAATATATCGCAGAGGTGACGCATGCCACCCGATGCTTCCATACTTGGCTCAAGGAGCAAACTCGGCCATCGAAGATGGGACTGTGTTGGGTCTACTACTCGGACTTATCCAATCTAAAGAGCATTTGCACCCTGCACTAGAATTATATCAGAACCTGCGAAAGACTCGAGGCGAATTAATAGTGCGAGAAACGTTCAAACAGGTAAGTCTCCAACATGCAAACACCATGGGTGCAAGTTGAGGTTAATCTTGTGATAGCGAGAGGCATTTCATATGCATGACGGGCCAGACCAAGAAGCTCGAGATGCGTTGTTTCTCTCACAACTTGGTAAAGATCTCAAAGCACCCTTTCCAAGTCGTTGGACGTGCCCTGAAGTACAGCCATGGTTATATGGGTACGATGCTTACAAAGAAGTCGAGCATGCAGTAAAGAACAATCCGTTTCCTTCTCCTTGACATATGCAACATTGAATAATAATACACTACGAACTAGCGCTATGCTGTGCATTTCATTCAATTGGTTATAAATAAAGTTAGTGGATGTTGCAAGACTTCACATATTTTGAAAAAAAGTCATCACTTTACATTCTGAGGGTCGTTGTGAGGTTCCCGTTGCCTAGGCAAGCGCCATCGTAAATTGACTTACCTCAACACTGTAACTCACAAACCGAATGCTCATTCATCAAGTACAAACCATGGTATCTATATTGTGGGCTTCAAAACACACTTGAATATAGAATGGGGACACAATGACCAAAATCAGGATAGATTCTATCTGGACTAGGTGATGCATGTCACAACAGGGGCTAAACGCAATACTACTCTATCGATGTCATCCTAAGTGGAATCTTCATCTGCTTGGTATCTTTCGAAAGCTCCTGCAGGTAGTTCCTTCTCAAACCTGATATCTAACTCTTCATAAGCTCTTCCCTTTGTACCTGGTACAAAGAAATCCAACAGAGCGATGTGTACGGCTACAAAACCGAAGAATATCCATTCAAGGTTACCAGCCAAATCGGCCTCATCCTGATTAAAGAGATGTAATAGGATGGCCTGCCAAAATGTGCCTGCAACACCTTGAAATACATTTCCAAGCGCGAGAGTTTTTGCGCGCAGACGTACTGAAGATACTTCTCCAGCAATATAGCCATCGCAGCGCCCACCGCCAGTCCATAAGACAAAGCAGAAAACTATAGTGCAATTCCCACACCGAGCATTTTGTTCGTAGTTCGTTTTATAGCACTGGCCATTCCCATGGTGAGGTATGCAAGTATACAGATACCTACACCGGTAAAAATAAGGATGCGACGGTTGAGCTTCGCCATTAGCAAAAGATTAAGAATTGATGACAAGACGCCCATACTGACATCGACCTGGGTGATTGTGAGTACCGTGTTGAACTATAAGCCCGACTGATCCAAGAAGTATGGTGCGTTCGCAGAAAGAACCGATCCGATAGTATAAGACACATAGAAGCAGATCAGCGTTATCATGGTGCGACGATGATCAGCGCCTTTGAAGCACTCAACGATGGATCCTTCCTTGGACTTCCGGCGACGTTCTAACTTGACTGTTTGTTGGATATCGAGCAGATGAGTATCGGTGCCTGCTCCAGTTGGGTAGAGTCGGGCCAGTGACTTTCGTGCTTGATCATGCTTTGCCTTCGTCACAAGCCAATATGGCGACTCAGGAACGAAGGGTAGTCCAAGAAATAGCCCAATTGAAACTGTCCAAGTTCCCGCAAACACGACGCGAAAAGCCGATGGATCTATTATATGAATTCGACTGAATGTGGCGGAGATGGCAACGAAGAGACCGATGTTCTGCCTATGCGTACAACCGTAATGGGTAAGGTAACTTACCAGCGCAACTGAATTAATTGATAAATCAATGCCACGCATAGCGATCGGTGTTGCTTCTGAGACATACGTCAGTGTTCTGACCACCAAAGCACTGAGTGCGAAGCCAACCAAAATCTTGGCACCAAGATATGCAGTGTGCAAGTGGATGACAAAAACAGCATAAGCTGATCAGAAATCGGAGGCGTAGCCAAGCGTTAATGCTTTATACGAAAAGAGAACCGATGAAACAGTATACATGGAAAAAGCAAAGTTGAGTGCCAATTGCGCCCAGCTGCAAGCTAGCCTTACATAGGCCATGGAGAGCGCCCTCGGCTTATCCAGGGCATTTCTACCCCACAACTGTCGGTCAAAGCTAGGGAAGCATACGAATCGATCCAGTTCTCCGCAATGATCGTACGCTAAAACCCACATACGCTCCACCGACTTTCACCAAGTTGGATATTCTCCGGACACGTCTACTACACATACAGCGCTAGCGCAGGATGCAAAAAGTGTGCTTTAACAGTAAACACTACCTGCTTCGTTGACATGGAAGAGCGTAGAATAAAAGATGCCCAACTTGTAACAAGATTGCATCATTGAACAAAGCCTATAAATCATCTAAACTATTATATAGTTGCGACAATTAGTTTAGACCATCTCAACGTGCGTCCGTCTTATCAAAGATTGTAAGAAATCAAACCCTTGTCTCTGCAGATTCCAGGTCTCTGATCCAATCTGCATTTTCGCGGCGAACGTATGCTCTTCATCAGGTACCTCAATCATGCCACATTGGACATCGTGTTTTCTCAGCTCATCGAAAAGCGCTCGGCTGAGGTGAATGGGCACCATTGTATCTGCTGTGCCATGCACAATGAATACTGGCGGAAATGTGTTTGAGATGTTTCTCACAGGGTCAACTTGGTCATACTGACCATCCGGTATTATCGCTTGCAGGACTTGACCTTTCGCGATGCGCGTCAGAGCATATGCCTGCCGTGGATCTGTGAAATCAGGTGGTCCAGGTGTTTGACCTTCAAGTGAGACACCGCTAGTGATAGGGATTGGTGATTCACTAAAGACACGACCCAAAAACTCTTTATCGAGATTACTTGGCAGCTTTGCTGCTATGTGAGCCAATTGCGTAGTCCAAAAATCATCCTTGAACTTGCACGGTCCGTACATGCTCAAGATGCCAGCTACCGGTCGAGGTATCCCAAACCCCTGTAGCAGTTAGCATTATTTGGTCCAATTTAGTCTATGTAGAAGTTTTCTACCAAGCTTAATGCCAGTGTGCCTCCGGAGGAAGTGCCAAAGGCAAACACATGATCCAGGTCTAGCTGGAGCTGTTGATGTTCTATGGAGATAAACTGTTCGAGACCGCCCTTATAAATCCACGTTAGGAGATCCCGACAATCTTGCATCGGTCCTCCAAGGAGAGTCACTTGTGGACAGAGCCGGTGGTTGGGGGCAACTACGACCCAGCCTCGATGTAAACAGTCTTGTATCTGATCTCTATTCACCATTTTGCTCGAGCCGAGCATAAAGGCTCCACCATGAATATCGATTACTAGATGCGTCGTAAATTAGTCTCCGAAAATTTCTTAGAGGTCAAACCACGTACAAATCGGAGCTGGGGATGGCCTCTTCTGTTTTGTGGAGGGCAAATAGACGTCGGCATCAATCTCTTGTTCGTCCACAACCTTGTAGACCACCCGGAAGCTCGATAGGCTAGTCATGACTTGAGTGAGAAATTCGAGGTTTTGCGCAAAGATGATTTCATGAGTGTAAACAAAGCCTCTAGTGCGCATGAAATAAACCATCTCTCATACTACCGTAGTCTAAGCTACCGGGTATCCCGCAAAATCTGGGTCCGGCATTTCCGCCACCTCGGCATTCATCCGCCCGGCCTTAGATCAGACGCAGAGAGGCATAGCCCCGCAACTGTCTACGTCCGCAAGAGGCACTATCCAACACAAGACTTTGGGCAGCAATGATACGAGACGTCTTGTAGAAGAGCATCCCCGTGACCTATGCTCTTCCTGAACCGCTGTATTCCTCACACCAAACATCCGTAGCATTTTCATGACCCTTTTTCGCCCTTTGTATCCTGAATGGAACATATCCAGAATGAGCATCCCAATCTCAACGATCCCGCCAGCATCAAGGACAACATACATGTTGGATCAGCTCGAAGGAGAGCGTCTTACACTTCCAGGAAGCAAAGGTGTATTCCGTATCCTTGCGTCATCTAAGCAGACCAACGGCGGGATCGCCGTCTTCACTAGCGGTGCAGTGCTGTCAGATGCACCTGGGTTCCATTGGCATCAGGAAGCACACGATGTTTTTTTAGTAACAAAAGGCTTCCTTAAGCTTTGGAATGGCGACAAATGCAGAATACTTGGCCCAGGCGATTTTGCTTACGTTCCGCCAGTACGTTGATTTTTTAAATCCATAACGTAGATATGCCACTTACACGGTATAGAAAGTGATACACAATCCTGAGCTACTTGGCCCTCACACAGAAACATTTGGCCTTGTTGCTCCCGGGGATTGGGTCGACTTCTTTCGTTACGTTGGGGAGACGTACGGCGGCGTCATTGTGCCTGAAAACGACAACCGCGACCTCAAATCCATGTTGATCCCGAAACTCATGGCGTCCAAGGATCGCTTCGACGTTCATTTTGAGAGAGACCACAAGGCACCTGAAGTAGGCCCATGGGAAGACTCTGAGAATCAACTACCAGCTCCTGGGCAAGCATATTTTCTGCGAGCAAACACAGGTCCACGATGGATCTTAGGTGGTGTTCTCTCCCGACCTTTTATTCATGCTGAACAAACTGGAGGAAAGTTTGCTATCTCAAGCGTAGAATCATCGAATATTTACGACGCGTCGCAGCAAGCATTAGCACGTTGGCTAACATTTAGTGAGGTTGACCACTGCTTTTGTGTGCAAGAGGGCCTGCTTCGGGTGCGATTGCAATCTAGTAATGGCTGGAGTGAGGTGCGTGAAGGGCAGACCCTTGTCGTGGCTGCTGGTGAAACCTTTTCACTAGATTTTGGTAGTCGATACGTTCGCGTGTGGTCGTTTACGAACGGACCTGGAATCGAGGAGCTGATCAAGCAAGCCGGTAAGAGCTATGATGGTTTAGTCATACCAGACGTTCCTATCGCAGCTGATGGTCATGTAATACTTACTATTTGTGAAAAGCTAAACATCAGCTCTATTGACCTGTAGGGTCTTTCTCTGAATACACCAGACTCATTTTCGTAAGCCTCAATATCAGTCTTATCTTCATGGTTGGCTAGATTACACGAGTCTCAGAACTCACCGCTGTCAAAGTTAAAAGTGCATTTCCTATCATTGTAGGCTTGATTAATGAATCTAAGGCACGTATAAGATCGTCATCTAATATGTTAGAATGACCTTGGTTGCATTGTGTGTTCATAACATCATAGACACCAACTCTCCTCATAAATGGGCTTCTTCGCTCATATTCTTATCATATTGTTGCTTTTGTATACAAGTGAGTGCTGCAAACTCAAACTTAGTCGGACCGTATCACAGCTTTCATGAGATTTGGCTTACAGTGCGACACCAACACTACACTCTTGCACACTGTGTGCCTAGAGCACATGACCCGGGCACTGTCCCCCTGCAGCAGGCTTGCATTGAACCACCTGGACATGTTCCTGACGATGGCCGCGTGATGCATCGCGCACCAACTAGTTCAGCAGGATTCGATGGAGTATATCCGCAGATATTACCCCACACCGCCGAATTGGTAGACCATGCCGCGATGTTGACGCAGCAGAGACGTATAGGGCGGGAATCACATTGAGATTGCTCAAGGGCAGGGATTCGGGAAGTTACAGTGGCCAACGTAGTAGTAGTAACGCTTACTGTCCGTATGAGTGGCGAAGTTGTGGCCATAGTGATCGTAGGGGTTGGAGCAACGGCAGTTGTCGTTGTAGAACTTATTTCTGTTGCTGTGTACACGGTCTCGGTGGCTGTAGTGAGTGTAGTAGTTGAAGTAAAGGTAGCGACCCTGCTGCATGCTGCAGAGATATCTTGAGATGACAAGCCCTGGAGAGCTGACGGTGTTTCGAGTGCTGCTGCTGGTGTTGCCTGTAACCTCTTCTTCAGGTTACCCTGCACTGTTGTGGTTGTTACCACAGTTTCTGTGCTTGCTACGGTAGTAGTTTCTCCGGACACAACTACGGTCTCAAATAAGGTGATGGCAGAAGGTGTAGATGTGAGTAGGTCGATGGTTGTAGTACGTGTGATAGTCGAGATGGTGGCGGCTGTGCGTACTGTCTCTACTGGTGGACTGTAATTGATATATGAGGCACAGAATTGAATGTCCTCAGGCGTATCGAGCAATTTAGTGATGTCCTCCGGATTGGGAGTGACCGGACTAGAAGATGGTGTTGCAGGTGCCGATAGTGACTTGACTGAAAACCCTATGCGTATGTCAGCAATCCGCTTTGTTTGATTCAATCCCTGCCGTAGGTAATCCTTACCATTCACGCGAGAATCTGGGACCGGTCCCAGGTTTTTGCTCTTAAGATAACATGATCCACTGCTCCCACTATTACCAACGAACGATGCTGCAACACATTCAGAATTAGCCGCGCATGCAGCTGAGCAGGCTTCTAGTCCATCAGTCCACTCCAATTTGAGGTCGCCACCATAGAAATCAATACCGCAACTCAGGGTAAAAGAACGGCTGGTGGTGCTATCGGAGGTGAGACAGCCATTGTTGTCAGGGCAGCTAATGGAAGCCGGACAGGGCTGTTGCGGTCGCGCTGGTGAGCTTGAGAGAGGGGTAGGAATAACACGAGATACTATACTCGCGCCTGTCACTCCCGCACTATTTCCTGGGTCAATATTACGATTCTTTTGTCTTCTGAGACTACTTACCTGGTTGAACCGGCGTTGAGTGCGTTTTTCAAGTAGCAATCCGTGCCCACGTAACTCAAAGCAACACAACCATCTGCAGACGCACAGGTCTTCATGCAGTCGGCAACTGTTGCGGCCTGTCAAAATCAGTATTTTTGCTAGAAAAGCCGATAGGTCTGTCAAATACATATACTCGTCCCATGTCGCCTCCAAAGAAGTCTGTTGCACAGCTGACTTTGAAATCGGCGCCATTGGAACTGAATGTACATTCATTATCATCTGGGCAGATCGGTAACGGTGGGCAGATGAGTGACGATGCACGCAAAGCCAGTACCGAAGCTAAGAAAAGAGCAGAAGACATATTGAGCGACCTTATCCCAGTCGAATCTGGATGGAATAAGACACAGCCCGGATGTGAAGCACTTGCATAAGTCGCGACATATTATATAGCAACAGATAAACTCCCTTCAATACTGGGCAACTCCAATCGTGGTTCAGAGGCTGACGCTTTCGGTCCACCATGTTGCGTACTAAGAGGCCGTGGCTGAACTGAATTAATTTTAGGAACAGGGGACGGCAAAATGAGGCCTAGCACCACAAGCCACAGAACGGCGGCGCTATGGTAACCGCGATAGCTGAGCGCCACGATGTATTCAACGAATTTCGGTTATATAGTCAATTTGAGCATTGTGCAGATATGGACCCGAGTCCGCGGCTTGTATCCTAAATCCCATAGTTCGGCTAGAATTGGGCGTCCAGCGCAGCCGAGTAAGAACCTGCAAGTGTCTGAAAATCTTCTAGCGTGTCCCAAACAAGATGCTAAACTACTCACGCATTGATAAGGAAGCATGATCAATCTGAGCCGGTGGTTTTCCTATCAGAGATTGTCCTTCCCCCACCCCTAATACCTACACTTAGGGCCCTTTGGCCCAGGGTAGCCCTGCCCAATTCAATCTTCACTCCAGCATTGTTGAAATAAGCCTTTCGAACGGGACTTCAGGTTATTGACAGTTTACATATTGTGATTACAGATCGTTCAATCATGTTTGCCCTTGTTACTAACTATTCGTGTCAACGACTGAATTATTGTCTACCAAGAATGTTCACTCTTCTTAAGGTAATTTCAATAGTTCTGCATCCCTTCGTATTTCTACTTAGTTGCATAAGGGTCTAAATCTCTGCTACTAGTGCATTTTATTGTTCGTATATTGCCGATCGCAATGCGAAGTCTAAGAGATAGTCTAGTATCTAACACCGTTCGGTCTCATAACCCTCCACACTACCCTCCAAAACAGGTATCCGCCTGTTTCCTCTAGTGCATTTACGCTCTCTAGTTTGGACCGCCCTGCCCAAAGCACTTCATAACCCCATTCACGCTCGTGATAGTGCTACCAGCATCTACCGAGAATTGTAAGCATGTGCATCTTGTCGGAAGCCCAGTGCAGGTCGTGACGCTAAGATATAGAAAAGTTATTCACTTACTGATATCAAACGATCCACTCTGGGTATTTCCGCTGTTATCCTTACACTTAACAGACAAGAACAACGAACGTTGCGATGAGGGAAATAGACCCTCGACTGAGCAGCTTTTGACAAAGTTACCACTGCAGTTTTCGTACAGTTAGCAATGACATGTAAAAGCAAGGAAACTGAGTTATCCCACATACTTTGCCTGCGGAATCAACTTCCCATCCGCATTCGCAAAACACGTCGACAGCCGAAGGATCGAACCGACGAGTTGATTGGCATCATTGAAGCAATCGCATCCCATGACACCGGCTTCAGCCTTGTTGATGATGAGACTGCACGACTGGCATTTATTGGTGAAGGACGCCGATGCCGTTGCTGTGACAGCGGCGAAAAGGTATAGAAAGTGCATTGTGATTGGGTTGTTGAAACTGCGACGATGGTGGTGAGGTAGTGCTTGAAGTATGAGCTCGGGAATGATTTAGTACAGAGTCGGGGGTTATTCTTGTGCATTTATACTAGTTGGCTGGTAAAAGGTGTTTACCCCGTTGAGAATTCATTGCTGTGGAAAACAGCATTCGACTCTTTCTCCCCACAAGACTTCTTCAGCCTCAGTCATACCTTGCTTACACGTTTGAACCAATTCGGCAAGTTGCTGGCGTTGTCGTGATTACTCACAAAGTCTTGGCTGAACGTATCTGGTTATTGTTAGCCACTTCATAGACTATCGCTTATTGTGTAGTAAGCAAAATCCCGTATCCACGGACGGTCAGTGGTTTCTGTCTTCTGAAACCTACATTTTTGGATTTTTTCCCTTTCCAGAATATATACCTGACTAAAACATTTCTATTTCTATAATATCGAGGTCCATGATGTGGTAAGTGATGCTGCCGTGGTACTCTAAATCTAACTCGCGAGGATCAATACGTTGGATTTTGCTACGTATAACGTGACGGATAAGCGAGTCGGTCAGGCAAGCGAGTCGGTCACCCTACCAACTTTGCGCACCTCTGCGGGCATATATCTCAACAACACAATAGTATAACAAATATAGAGTAACAGAGTGAATTAAGCAGTACTATTAGTATCTTTCTTACAC